AAAAATAATTACTAAAAGGTTTAGCATTCGCTCGACTAAGCTCCTATTGTATTACAATTTTTTATAACGTGTTAGTTACATACTGAGCCATTGTCATGTAGAAGCAACTTATCTGATTTAAACATATGCATTTGGCAATTGAAAATAACGACATTAACAATTTTATCATTTAATAACTTAGATTTTAGTTTTAACTTAATCTCTTAAATATGATTCAAAGATAATGTAATTGTGAGGAATCAATAAGAAATTTCAAACTAGCAATCGTACACTCAGGAACCGTACGAAGGAAAGTGTTCTGATCTCTATGAAGGTTAGCTGCTTCAACAAAATAAAGCAAACTGTCTGGCAAAATAACATGGTTTTACATTTCGAACCCAAATCAGTTTTTGGTGAAACACAAACTATTTTGGTTTTTGACTGTTTAGGTGTCGACAGTGTAGAAGAATGATTATGAGTTGACGATGAATGGTGAGCTAAATGCTGAGAAAGTTATATGGTGGTACGAAGTGTGTTATGGAGACGAGTCATCGTGATTGTGTTTTTGATCAAAACTGAGTTGTTGATTAATGAAACAGAATTAGTTTGTTGATAATTTTGAACTGAAGTACTAGGTGATGGAGGAGATCGATCAGCGTTATTGAATAATGTTAAATCCGGTGATGGCTCATTTCATCTATTTTCATATTTTTGAGCTTTGGAATGGTTAAACCAAATAATGTCGACGATGTTTTCGTTTAAAAACGACGTGTGAATATCGATGTGTAGTTGTCCGCTGTTTGTTTCAAATCTGGTTTTTAAATAATTTCAAATAACTTTTTTGAAAATTGTTAAGTCATCGTTCTTTCTCTTTCCGTAATACAGTGATCGTCACTTGATGAAGTATTATGATTGTAAATTTTAGATTTTTAAAAGCGATGACATCTTCAGAATCAAATCCAGATCCGGAATCCAAACCGCAGTCGCTCAGTGAATTTTACATTGCTTGTCGCAATAATGATATTCATGAAGTTAAAAATCATTTAAAAACAACGTCGTTTAAGGATCTAAATCGGAAGAGTCTAATTCTAGTACAGCATTGCATGCAGCCTCTTACTATGGTAATTATGAGATTGTTCGATTATTGTTAAGTCGTGGTGTTATTCGATCAATTTTAAATAAATATCAATGTACACCGTACGATGAAGCTGCTAATGATGGTATTATAGAATTATTTCATCGGCCAGCCGGTGGTCAATATTGTTTCGGTGGTAATGAAACGGCTCGCATTCAATGTATGAAAGTTGATCCAAAAATTTTGGCACGGGCATCCACTAAACGATCGGATTTAAAAGCTGCATGGTTCAGTCTTCATATTACTACTCGAATTGATTTGATAGTAGAAGAAATTATTAAAATCAAGATATGAAAGATATTGAAGGATGGGAAAGAATTGAATTTTGGTATCAAAAAGCAAAAGAAGAAAATAATCCAATTTACCTTGTCCAAGCATATACAGCTGGAACAGGTTATTATTTTAGATTAAACACTCACTTGGCTAGTGAACATTTTGCCGATGATTTAAAAAAAACGAATACAAAATCAAACGGATATAAAAGTCGACATTGGATATTAAATATTGTCATGTCACATCCCCTTCTTGATGATTACAATTTTAAAGGTAAAACATATCGAGGAATGCAAATAAGTGACGAGGGTTTAGAACAGTATGCAGTTGGTAGTTATAGAATATTCAGATGAACAAGAAGTTATTGTTGTACCTTATTCTGTATTCGAAGTAATGAGTAAACGACGAAATTTGCATAATCAGAATGAAGTAGAACTTAGAGAATGTGACTATGATCAAATACTGTCAGACAATCAATAATCAATAATTGTTTATCAGCTAATATTTTTTTATTTTTAATAGAAACAAAATAAAAATATTACATAAAAAAGTTCTACAGGAAAATCTCTGTAAAGTGAGCATCTCTTTGACGGTTTGTATAACTAAAATAATCTCTCTGTAGTAGATGCATGAAAGGAAATGTGAGTATAGAAAAACGAAGAATGACTGAATATAGGAGGACGATTAAATATGTATATGAGATGAGAATAAAAGTACATATATGCGTATAATATTTTTTTTATTGTGGCTGAATTCTACGGGGTAAACAGGCAGAGGTACAGAATCTATCCGTGAGATTAGAAAACTTCCCCCGACGGTAAAAGATTATAATAAAATTTCCCTGGTATGAAATAAAAGAAAACACAAAACAATGTGATTTTTCATTGCTGCTAAAAAAAACTACTGTTTCTGTTTAGTCAATTACACATGTCTAGTTCTGGTAGTTTTCCATAAACGTTTTAAAACAATTGAACCAGAAGAAACTAATTTCCATACAATCATTGTTTATTTCTTATTTGACTAAAGTAATTATTGAGTGATTGTGTGATAAATGGATGAGCTAAATGTAATGGTGGTGCATTTCACTGTAACATCACTTCATTGTCTAAAGTGTCACGGTGTAACGCACGATTACTATGGATATGTCCCTTCAAAATTGACACAGCCGATTCATACACTGCGTCACTTCTTATTTTTAATACCGTTAACGAATAAAAATATAAATAATCTTGAATATCGTTAACTAGTTATTGTTCTGTAAAAAAGCTTTTCATCGCCTATGCTGCTATTATTTGATCTTTTGTTGTCCGTATTCTGTATGTATCAGAATCTTCTTGTTCATTCAGAAACCGTTCTTTTCATAGTTTGTATTGTTCTTTCAGGTCAGTAAAAGTCATGTTTATATGAGATGCTCTTCTTCTTGTAAAATCCAGACTAGTAACACCATACTCCGAACTTAATTGATGATTCGATGTTTTTAATAACACGTTTAATCAATGTGGAGGATCTAAACAATTTTTCATCGTTTCAAAAATTGATGGTGTAGTTTTAAATCTTACTCTAATGGCTTCATATCGAATATCCGTGGCAAATTACTGATGCGATCGTGAAACGTTTCTACGTTTCCTGGATAAACGCGTTTCGTAACGTTTGTTTTATTTTCCGTTCTCATACGTTTTTATTCCACTGTTAATGGTTGAAAAACGTAACTAACCATTAACCGTCTTGTTTTGCGGTCAGCCGAATATATAAGCATATCGAAGAAATATCATCTTCTTTTCCTTGTTTTTCAGTTTGAAATCATCAGTTTTGTACTTCTTTTATCACAGACTTCAATTTCTTGATCAAGTTCCACTAGGCGCGATTCCATCCCAAAACGTGTTTTTTTTCCATTTTTAACGGTTGCAAGTAATGTCAATGTGAAGAAGTGAGTATGTATGCAACAACTGAAGCGGGTACGACTCACCACATCTCCAAATAGTACTGCCAAATCTCAAAATTCCCCGTGTCCTAAAAATTACGTAATGGTCTATGGCAGAATTGTAGCAGGCTAACACTAGCATCTTGCAGTATCTCACATCACAGCAGAATTGAGCAGAATTTGCCAATTCGTAGAGAGCACCTGAGTATGAAAGAGAATATAGTGGATTCGGGTTGAGTACTGGTAGAATTGATCGAATCACCGCAGAATTGGGTATTATCTCGGTGATAGCTTGTTGGCGTTGAATTCTGCTGGAATTCTGGAATTTTCAGGGAACTGTAGAAGTTGACACCACTCTGAATGTATTATACAATAGACTGTTGCGCTGTACAATGTGTGTATCGACTGCAGTAGAGTTAACACACACACACAAGAGAACAGTTATGAAATACGAAATGAGAGAACGAATGAACAATAGAAGAATGATAGAATGTAATCATGTGAGAACCAATAAATGGAGAAGTCATTATTTTTTACACTATCCACACTGCAGTGTGGATAGTGTAAAAAATAATATGTTAGTATATATAATAACTAACACCCCCCCATATAAAAATATATAATAGTTAGTGTAAAAATAATGTGTGGATTCCACACACATTTTCAATCGTAATAGGTAGAATTATAATTAAGAACAATAGAATAAAAGCAGCGGTTTGAATCATATTAAATCTCCTACGTTTCGATTTATTTAAATATCATTGTCAAGGACATACATAACTGAATGGCGTCAGTTCTATATTTATATATATGTACTATTGTCCGCTGATCTTTCAACTATTTTTCTTTCTACTATCTAACCTTTCTCTCCTAGAAAATAAAAATGAAATAAGAAAAAATATGTTGCGTAATTTTGTAATCGTCCGTATGTATCTACTATCGGTTCCAAAATACAACGCGGGTGGTTGCTTTTTGAATAACTATTGATAGGAATGAGATAGAGACCTGCAGTTTTCGCTGATCGATAGCCAAGAGTTGAGTGGAGCTTTTCACAAGCGGAAACAATTTTTGAAAACGTTTCAAAGACCGGATTACTAGTGGATCTTTTGAAAGCTAGCTCCATTCTCAGAAAACTAGCATACAATGTTAGTAATTTTTTGCATGCGTGGGTACTCCGGACGGTACTCTACAAAATTATGCAACTTCCAGCTCTCCAGCTATCATCGTTCGACAGGGCACGCTTTCCCCGAGCACGTGTCTATCTAGCATAATATCTAGCATCTACATCTCTGGGAACCTCGAAATGTTATGGAATATAGGGAATCGATTACGCTGAGCACAGTGGAAACATTTGTTTTTGTGTAAAAATGAAAATAACTTCGTCAGAAGCTTTTTTGTGAAAAACCCGTTTTTCTCTATTACTAGCAAAAATTAAAATCCTTATGTCTTTGTCAAATCTCATGCTGACTCAAGGAAATTTGCAGAAAACGCTCAGGACAGCTCCTAAATCATAATCGAAGGCGAAAACGCTGAATTCCAGCTGGGCATTGGTTTAAGGTTTTCCGGAAACATTCTGAAAACCCTCACAGCATCAGTATTCCGCTGGACCACTTTTTTGGCGCAATCAACAATATATGGCGGGGAAAGCGTGCCCTGTCGAACGATGATAGCTGGAGAGCTGGAAGTTGCATAATTTTGTAGAGTACCGTCCGGAGTACCCACGCATGCAAAAAATTACTAACATTGTATGCTAGTTTTCTGAGAATGGAGCTAGCTTTCAAAAGATCCACTAGTAATCCGGTCTTTGAAACGTTTTCAAAAATTGTTTCCGCTTGTGAAAAGCTCCACTCAACTCTTGGCTATCGATCAGCGAAAACTGCAGGTCTCTATCTCATTCCTATCAATAGTTATTCAAAAAGCAACCACCTGCGTTGTATTTTGGAACCGATAGTAGTCTTCGACTATTATACAGGGTGCGCGAAAAAAAGCTTACCCCTTTTTAAAATATTATTTCTGCCCCTCTAGAATTCACTTTTTGGCCCAATTCTTTTTGTGATAGATAGAGATGGGAAAAGCCTACTAGATAGATATATTTTTATTTTTAAAACATTGCACCGTAAGTGGGGACAAAAATGAAATTCATTAAATATGAAATCTGTGCTGGAACGGTATCCTCTCACCGGAAAGCAAAAAAAGATCTCTCACCAACAGTTAGTTTTGGCTTGACATTTGGCGTAGCTATAGAGGTACTAGTATACTCACTGCGGAAAAATTTTGATCTAAAAAAGATTGTTTTTTAAAGATTTTTTTCGTTTCCATAGAATTATTTACGTTTGATGGTAAATGCTGTTCCATGCTTCTTTATTATATTGTACTTTGTTTCTTATTATGAAACCGAAATTTATTAACAATTTATACATATTGTTGTAGCCATTGACACGCTCTATCTGCGGTACATAATTGATTGTAATTAAAACAAATTCAAGTGATGAAATAACCAAACTAGTACGGTACATCGTTTTATGCCAAAAATATGGAATACTGCTATTGTACGGATATTTTAATAATAGTAGCAAACTAGCAATTATTTCAAGTAATTTATACGTGTACTTAAACTGTGAACGTCTAGAAATATAGCCTGAAAATTTCAGGTCATAATACTGTTTTGTTATTGAATTATTGAATTTTTACAAAAAAACAAAAATAGCAAAACTTGATTTCTTTCTGGAGTATATTTCATATTTAATGAATTTCTTTTTTGTCCCCACTTAGGATGGAACGTTTTAAAAATAAAAACATATCTGTCTAGTAGGCTTTTCTCAGCTCTATCTATCACAAAAAGAATTGGGCCAAAAAGTGAATTCTGGAGGAACAGAAATAATATTTCAAAAAGGGGTAAGTTTTTTTGGCGCACCCTGTATCTCTTTTGTTTTTTCTCTTTCTTTCTTTCTATGTATTCCTTGAGGAATAATACTCATCCGAACAGAGTGAATTGTACAGTTCAATTCTGGTTCTAATATTTTTGATCATCAAACTGTCCTTTCTGACATGTAATAGGAGTTTTTGTCACTATCAATGACTACAAAATCCGTCTAACAATGTGTCAAGGTTACAGCTAACGATGACGTTGTCAAGATAAGATCTGTAGCAAAACATGAGATCGAGACCGATTAATAAAGGACAGTTTGATGATCAAAATATTAGAACCAGAACTGAACTGTACAACTCACTCTGTTTGGATGAGAATTTTTCCTCAAGGAACACATAGAAAGAAAGCGAAAAAGCAAAAGAGATATGATAGTCCAAATCTAGATACATACGGACGATCACAATCACGCAACACACTTTTTCTTATTTCATTTTCTTTCCTTTCTTTTCTAGGTTATACGTGGAAAGAAAAATAGTTGAAAGACCAGCGGACAATAGTACATATATATAAATATAGAACTGACGCCATTCAGTTTTAAAAGAAACCGTTTTGTTTCTGTATATCCTTTAGAATGAGTTTTAAAGGCACTCACTATCATTTTTCTCGGAAAACGTATTTTTTTCAATGGAGCATGATGTTGGAACTCAATGTGATGTAGCACGGATAAAACAGTCTCAAAAAGTTACTGTCAGAATGCAATTGATAGATGTCATGGATGTCTATCTAGTGATGTGTAAAACTGATTTATTAAATCATCGTGTTTTATTAACTTCTGAACGCCTGCTTTTTTATATTCAATAAGACTCATTGAGAGTGATCGTTGTTATTTTCGCTGGTTTTCAAGTATCCTTCCGCAGATTAGGAATGAATCGCCACCAAACTCATTTGTGGTAGAGATCGATCTCTCATAAGATCAACTCTCGTCCGTTTATTTTCAAGAATAATGGAGTTATTTGTGGAAATTCGCTGCTCTGTGGAAATAGCATCATCCACCATTTTCGACAACAACGTTCGCTGTTCTAGGCATCTTTTGATCTATAGTACAAAATGTCAGAATTTTGTTGCATTGGTTGCTTTGTGTCTTTTTTAAAATTACTTTTTTTGTGCTTGACTAGATTTGTCTCCCTCTGTCTTTGAGTGCAGAAGAATAGAAAAAAAAAAGAGTAAAAGTAGACAAATATAATTTGTTAAGATGCAAGAGAAGAAACTGAAGAAAATAAGAACAGTCTGAAAAGTAGATGTCTGCTCATCCTACAAATCGGTCATTGAGTACAGAATCCATTGTATAGAATTTATTGAAGATACCATTAAGTTTCCCAACAAGTGAATTACAATAGTTTTCTATACTGACCATCGTATTCAGACAACTTATCTTCTTTTCTTTGTTTTGTTAAGAAAATGTTTAAAACACGTTGTTAACGATATTTTTTATCACAGAAAGTTCTAGCTCATCACTGTAACAATCTATATGTTGCATAGCACTCGAATAAATACATCATTCTTTGACGATTCTTTTTCTGTCTTCCATACTGACACATTATATTTGTCTACGTTTACTTCTGTTTTTTTTTTCATTCTTCTGCACGCCACGATACATTATTCTATAAGAGATGCTGAACAACATTCATGTGTGTCTTCATTTTTTTTTCTTATTATCACATAAAAATATGAACGAGAATCGACCGAGTATTATAGCTCTCTATCAAGAGCCAAACATAAATCAGATTAACGATTTCAAGTACACATATCGAAAAGCAACCATTAGTGAATCAATGAACTTGAAATTATATTTAAAAACATTTTGGATGGATTATCTCGTTATAATCATTCTAGGAGCTATTGGACTTGGTGTTAATGTTCTTCGACCCGTGCCTAATCGTCTATTTCCTGTTTATTTTCGTGATGGTGAAATTGTAAATCCAGAATTTGCCTATCCATTTCGTAACAATATTATTCCCTCTTGGTTGGATGGTCTTATCGCTTTTATTATTCCATGTATGTTTATTATGTTAATGCAAATTCGTGTTCGTAGTTTCAATGATGCTAATACAGCTATTATGGGCTTAATATTTAGTCTAATTACTGGAGCCGTTTTTCAAGTATTAATCAAATGGTTAATTGGTGGACTGAGACCCCATTTTTTCTCTGTATGTAAACCGAATATTACACCAGCTAATATTGGTAGTGGAAATGGCTTTAATGGAATAATGTTTGATCGTTCTATTTGTACAGGAGATGAAAAACAAATAAATTTTGCTCTTTCATCAATGCCATCAGGACATGCAACTGCCGCATTTGCAGGATTTCTATATTGTTCATATTATCTCAATGGAAAATTAAAAATTTTTGCAAATTATCGTCCACAATATTGGAAACTTGTTTTATTTTATACCCCTATTCTTGCTGCAGTTTTAATTGCTGCTTCTTTAACAATTGATCATTATCATCATTGGTATGATATATTAGTAGGAGGAATTATTGGATCAATGATAGCAACAGGTGCATACAGATTTCAATATGCAAGTATTTGGGATTATAGATTCAATCATATACCACTACCTAGAATAGGAGCTGAAATTGGTTATGATTATGGTCTTGAAGAGTTTAATGTGATACCAGGATCAAGAAAAGGTGGTTGGAATGAAACAAAAAGTCAAATATATGGTGCACCGTTTGATGCTTATAGAAATGAAGTGAAAAAGACGACTTCATATGTAGATGCGGGAGTGTGACTATTTTCTTGCTCATTTTTCTTTTGAAAAAAATGTAAATGAGTTGTCTTGAGAAACTGTAGTTTAATTAGAAAAGTATAGTTTGTCTTTTTTTACTTTTCCTAATTTTGGTAACATATTAATATTAATAAATAAATAGAATGGACACAAGTTACTAAATTTAATTAAAAGCCATTTTCTGATAGGATCCGACAGACATAGATACTTAATGATCGAGCTCAAATTTTAACCATGAGTAGGTCCCATACAACCTAGCTTGCAGTCAATAGAGATGCTCTAAAAGTGTGACCTTCACCATTTATAGTTGTCCGTCTTTTATAGGATTTTTCCATGAAAAGTCAATAAAACCAAATTTTTCAAAAATATACAATATTTTTTGTTACTAAATTTTCAGGAAAGATGTAGCTCTCTATGGACTATCTACTCTAAAAATTGCATAAAAAAAACTTGAACCGCTCAAAAGAAACGTTGATTTTTCGTGTGAAACTTATGATCCATGTTTGTCTGTTGCCAGCGTGATCCAGGCTTTAAATTTCAGGGTTGATAGAGCAAGACGAGCTTTACCGAAGACAAATTTCGAACATTTTGATAAAAATGATTTTTGGTATTTTTTACCGATTTTTACGCCCCGACAGAAAATCAGTATATCAAGGCTGCCCATTAGTTAGAAGTTGGTTAAGGGACCCAGCGTTTTCGATATAATTTTGGAAGTTTCATACAGCAACTCTAACAATTTAGCTGATAACCGAACTTAACTTTTTGGAGTAATTTCTGTTTTAGTAGCAGTAAACTTTCGTAAAATGACGGAGTAATTTTTTTCAAACAAGTGGGAGAATTCTCTCACCTCCTCCTATCACAGTGGGCAACCAGGTAGACAAAAACGATAGTGTTATTTTTCAAAGTTTAAGCATTAGAATAATTACTTCTGTCTTTGATCTATCTTGTCCTGAAATAGCATTTTCAGAAATTAAATTAAACGTTGGAGAAACACATACTAAGAAAGGACGGGGGCTATTATTTGATGGAATCGGTCCCTACTTGAATTCCGTCGACACATACATGGTTAGATGCAGAAGGAACAGGAGAACGTTTCTAGCCACTCGGCAGACCTTAGACACACTCTCAGAAAAAATTGGGTCCAATTAACTGTAATCACTTCTGACACGTATTATTATTGATCATATTCTCGAGTGTGTCCCTCTCGGTCTCATACCTCACCTAGGGCATCTTGACATCAGAAATACTTTCTGTAAAGCCGTGAAAAGCGGATGACTTATGGTGTCATAGATTATTTTAGACTGTTTGCACATAGGAGATTATTTTCCATAGACGGAAGTATTTCTAAACATACTTGGCCTCAGAACGACTATTTCCGTATATGTGATATACAGAAATATAGCGCAGAAAAAGAGCTGTCGAATGACATATGATAGTTCTAGTGAGGTATGAGGCCGAGAGGGACACACTCGAGAATATGATCAATAATAATACGTGTCAGAAGTGATTACAGTTAATTGGACCCAATTTTTTCTGAGGGCATGTCTAAGGTCTGCCGAGTGGCTAGAAATGTTCTCCTGTTCATTCTGCATCTAACCATGTATGTGTCAACGGAATTGAAGTAGGGGCCGATTCCATCGAATAATCGCCCCGTCCTTTGTTGAAAACTCGCTATCCTCAGATAAAGTTAATTTTCTGCCCAACTTATTGGAATAGTTTAATCTGAAAAACTATCTGAAAAGAATTGTTCATCTATGAGCTCCATTTTAATGAAAAGGTGGTTTAGATTCAGCTAACATTGCTAAACAAAAAAAAGTCTACTGGTATCAAAAATGTATCATTCTGTATTTTGTAAACGCTACAAACCACTAAAGTCCAATCGAGCTCAACCTTTCACCAAATATTCCTCTATGTGTGCTCTACCATTGACAATAGCGCCAATTAGCGACAGTGATTCTGCATTGTGCTGGAGGTTTTCTAAAAAACCATGGTTTTTAGAGTTCCAGGATTGGCACCCGGTGACTATTGGTAGCTTTGAAAACGGATGGACTATTGGTAATCAATCATGCTGAGTCTCATGGCAATATTTGTTTTTAGAAAAAGCTCCAAAAATCTACCGAAAAACGAGTTTTATGAAAATTTGCGTTCGAGGCTGTTTTCACCTAATATTAAAAAGTTCACTATTCACTCGATAAACATCAGAACGGGTTCAAAATTTGAGGATATGATTTATTTCCTGCGCTAAACGTGATTATCCGATCGAAAAATCAGAAAAAGCATATTTTTATTATTGGGTTTTCCGGAAAAGCTTTTGGAAAATCTTAGTAATTCATAAAATGTCCTCTGAGATCTCCTATAAACAGGAGAGATAGATGAAAACAGCCTGAAACGCAAATTTACGTAAAACTCGCTTTTCGGTAGGTTTTCAGAACTTTTTCTAAAAAAAAAATATTGTCACAAGACTCAGCATGAGCGATTACCTATTGTTCATCCGTTTGCATGGCTACAATAGTCACCGAATGTGAGTCCTAGGACTCGCAGGAAATCCGATACAACGCCCGAACCGTGGAACATCAAGGTCTTACTTCACTCCCATTTTGAAGAGAACATCCCGGGCTATTAGTCCATGAAAAAAAAGTAATACAATTCTATTGGAGAATTTTTACAGACAGCCTAGTTTTCCAAAGATCTCCTAGAAAAGCTGTTTCAGAAAACTATTCTGAAAACAAAATTCGTCATGAAAACATGGCTTCAAGTTTTTTCTTTTGAATGGCGAAAGCCGGCGCTTTTCAGCTCTTTTCTATCAAAAGTTATTATTAAATTAATAGTACATGTCCGCCTGCTATAGCCAAAATTGTCCACTGTGCCCCACTAATCGACAACGCTGAACATGCCTCACGAAATATAAATGTTTTTTTTGATAAAGATTTATTTGCTACACAAAAATATAGCATCAAAATGTTTCCGGTACTATGACAAAGACTGAAAGCACATCTGATGTCATCATAGTTCACGTTCGCGTTCCTCGAACGTGAATGTTAAAGCATTGGTGAACCTGAGCTTTTTTTATATGAACGGTGTTCATACCGTCTGAATAATAGTCTTTTGTACAGTTTTGAATACCGATTCAGAAAAAATAGTTTGAACTTTCCAACTTACAACACAGCTTGGAAAATTCAATTTCACCGAAGTCGAAAGGTTTTTCGCCTTTTGAGACCCTTCGATTTTTTTCGATTGTTTGACATGAAGAAAGTGTTCAAAAAATTTAAGAAGGTAATATTCTTGATCCCCAACTTCCAGGCTATCGAATGGTGTATAATATATTCAAAAAGAAATCTTTTGCTATACGTTTGAATTAGCCGTACCTTACACGTGAAATAAATGTTGATATAAGCAATAACAAGTAATGATAAGGTTAGTATTCTTCTTTTTCTTCAGTCAACGTATCCACTAGTAACCGCTTTTTTTTCGATATGTGCAGCAAAATATTTTGAAGAAAAATAAAACACAATGATTCGTAAGGCATATAAAATAAATACTTTTTAAAAAACTATTATAAGAAACTGTGTGTATCTTCGTGGATCTCAGGGATTTTCGTGGGATGGGACAAATTTTCATCCTACAGAAAAATATTTTCAACTTGTCCAATCCCATCCCGTGAACGCTCGGAAAATTGTCATCATGAGTATTCAAAAATTTCCGTCCCATGAAATCCCACAGGATTCCGTTAAAATGTTTTTGCTCAGAAATCATTTCTGCTTAAGCGGAGTTTTTGCGGCAGGTGTTTTTCTAGTCTCAAACTATGAAACTGTAAAAATCTGCTATATCCACATTACATTATGTTACATTTATAAATCACTAGCTTTTCGTCGTGAAAAGAGCTAAGCTGCCCACTAACAAAACAAGGTAAAAAAAACAAGAAATGATATCTGTCATTTTGAACTATTCATCGTTTCTCAGAAAATATCACACACTAAGAGAATGAGACGAGATTACCAACCAGGTTATGTGACCAACCGCGTGAAATATAACAAGCCAGCTAACCGACACATGGCAACTCAAGCTTAGTTAGTTTAAGGTATTTAAGGCACTAACAACTCGACAAGTTAGTATATGTTAGTATTGGTTCTGATCTATAATCATTATGCAAAATGAATAACAAGTAAAAAAGACACAAAATAGTGGAACAAATAAATAGATGAATAAGTAATATGATAATAATACGTAGGTGGAAAAAGAGAAGGTGAGTGTTTGAAATGCAGTAAAAAATTACATTTTAAAACGAGAAATGAAAAGTTAAATAATAGAGAGATAGTATATACATTTATATATTTAAAATTTGTTTTGATGTAAAACGTTCAGTTTCATTGATGTAAGTGATAACAGATTTGTATATTTTATTATAGTAATCGAAAGAGAGAGAGAGAGAAGTTGTCTTTAAAAGAAGGAGATGAACAATACGCAGGTCAGAATCACATTCATATATTTTATCAAAAAGTTTTTTTCGAGCAATAGTGTAGTTCTTGCAGTGCAAAAAGAAGTGTTCCACCGTTTCAATTTGAGAGCATAGACAAAATTGCGAGTTTGATCTCTGTACAATATTTCTGTGCCATTCTTTCTTAAATTTTTTGACTGATAACAAAACTCTTAATCTTAATTCTAACTGATTCCATTTTTTAATAGTAGATGGAAAAAAGGAGACATCATAAGATTTTGTTTGGTTAGCTGGTATTCGTCTGACAGAAACATTTTCTTTGATTAACTGTTCTCTATGTGACCTTAATCCACGCTTCGAATTTTGTACAAATGTGATGCAATTTTGAAGGGACAATGGAGCCTGTCCAACTACAATTTTCTGAATTAATTGAATTCTACGACTTTCTGCTATTTGTACATATGATTGGCATCCTAATACTTTAATTAATTTATCTTTACTAGTAAACTGTGATGCTCCACTTACAATCTTTGCTGCCTCATACTGCATACGTTCTAATTTAGCTAAA